AACGTACGCGTCCCCAATAATATATTAATTGATGAAATGTTTTGGTACAGTCATGGGGTCAAGTGGAACTTTTAGATACATGTCGCGTCACTCATTACGGTATGTCGTGCTGTAGATAATATAAGACGGCGTGGTAAGTTTATTAGTTTGTTTGTATGAGACATTACGAGCCCTTGAAGCATTTGCTTTTTAGTTTCGCTTTATGATTAAATGTATAGCTAAATTATTTTTGGTTTTATTCTCTCTTGTGTTCTCAGAAGAAAAAAAAACGGCATAATTACGCGCGTAAAATTTGAATATTTTTTTTTTATTGCTTAGATGGGTGGACGAGCTCACAGCCCACCTAGTGTTAAGTGGTTACTGGAGCCCATGGACATCAACAACGTAAATGCGCCACCCACCTTGAGATATAAGTTCTAAGATCTCAGTATAGTTACAACGGCTGCCCCACCCTTCAAACCGAAACGCATTACTGCTTCACGGCAGAAATAGGCAGGACGGTGGTACCTACCCGCGCGGACTCACAAGAGCTCCTACCACCAGCTAATGAACAAATGAAGTATTTAATGGCTAAACCAGACCGCCTTCGTTCATTTCTCGAAGCGACGTTCCGGCTATCTACCTTAAACGGGAACGTGTCATTCGAATGGCAGAATGCCAAAAGCAACTGCACAAAATTTCAACTCGATCGGGTCCATGAACCCAACGAAGACGAACCCACAAACATTCGAGTTTCTTGTTTGTTTAATTCAAAATTAAATTGACCTATTTTGATATTAAGAATTAAAGTTACCAAGGCACAATCGACTTTTGTTCTAACAGAAGACGTGCGTTGTTCAAAATTTAAAATTATCGCGCAAAATATTTGTCGAGGCCATTCGTGTAATTTTGATATTTCTGAGCATCAATTAACCCGCTATTAGTGAACTTCGATTGATATAACAAATCAAAAGCTTAGGCTCCCGGTGATGTTTACCAGAAATGGCTGTGGTCAAAGTGGTGTTGAAATGACAGTGAGCAACAAATACGTTATTGATTTTGGAATAGTAACATTTGAAGATTTTTATTTTTATTAGATTACAAGCCGCACTCGCTTCGTTGCGCATTTAAAATTAACATTATTATTTATTGTCATTATCATTAGCGAGTCCAACACTCATATAAATATTAGCCTATCCAGTATTTTCTACATGGATACAAAGTTTCAAGTCAATCGGATGCATGGTTCAGTAGTTATAACGGAACATCCGTAAAAACCACTGTAAAGTTATATATCAGTATAGTATAGATAATTTAAAGTATTTGGGTTATCAATTGAGCTTCAACATAGTTAAAGATAAATATTCTAAGTATGCAAATATAGAAATAGAGAAAATTTCTAATAGCTAAGTACTGTATTTAGGGTCGTAATGCAACCGTACATACACGTATAATAGCTATTTGAGTCGACTATTATCAAAGCCGGCAATCTGACTTTTGGACAATGATTGGTAAATCAGAAAAACGAATTATTGACTTTGTATTCCATTGGCAGTCACAAAACTCTTCGGAACGACATCTTAGATAAATAACAGGTTAACTATTAACCTTTATTTAATGCAGGTTTTGAACCGTATTCTTTGAAGGAGACGATTATATTCAAATCAATCTGAATTGACATATCAATAAAAATTTTTTGTCCAAATGCACAGATTACCACCTTTGATAATAGACGACTCATTTATACAAAACGTTTCGCAACACACATAAATCGCAATATTATTTGGGTTATATACAGATTGATCAGCTCGCGGACAAACTTTTGTTTTTTTTTTTTCGTTAGCTATCCGCTTTTAAATAAAAGAACACTTATTGCAGCATAACTATAATAGTTGGACATATGCTGTCACGACACTTTTTGTAAATAATAATGTATTCTACAAATTCGTAGTACATTGTTTTATTCTATCATCAATAGTTTTCGCAGGGCACACGATGTAAAGAATATTTTAGGTAATTTTTTTACACCTTGGGTTACATTATTGGAGCTTTAGTGAGGAACCCAATTTTTTTTTCAAAAAAGATTATATAGCCTATGTCACTCGGGAATAGTGTAGCTTCCAAGCAGTGAAAGAGTTTTTCAATTCGGTTCAGTAGTTTCGGAGCCTATTCAATACAAACAAACAAACAAATCTTTCCTCTTTATAATATTACTATAGATAAAAATAAACTAATTAATACCAGTTGGTAACGTTATCAATTTGAACGATCTTTACAACTGATGCCGATACCGTATAATCATTTTCGAGTTTTAGGCTTTGTAGAATAGATGGTGAAAGATACAAAGCGAAAACGTCATAAAATGTATTTAGAAAGAGAGAGGGAGAGAGGGATAGAGGGAAAGAGAGAGAGGGAGAGTCTTTATTGTACAACAAAAAAAACTTCGAAACATTAAATACAAAAAAAAGTACAATTGGCGGTCTTATCACTAAGAGCGATCTCTTTCAGACAATAATCATTTGGAAACGAATTACGCGCGGTGTACCAATCCCTGGATTATATACATTTATAAATATACATACTACATGTATTTATATTTATTGTATACCAACAATAAGAAGTCGTTATAAACGCAATGGCACTTATGCCCTTTGGTAACGTATATTAGTAATAAGCAAAGAATGCATGCTAATTGATAAAACGTCTGCCAGAGCTGCGATGTCGTGAGAAGCGAATTTCGCAGCTTGAATTGCTTTAGTGACAGCAATCAGTCCCTGAAATTGTGGTATTCAAGACCGATTTTCGGTTTTATTTATTACTAGCTGACCCGGCAGACTTCATAGTGCCTCAATCGATAAATAAAAGACCTAAACTTGTGTATAAAATAAACTTAAAACAAACAAAAGGAATCCGTCCGACGGGGGCCACATCAAAGGGAAAATTGTTGTTTTTATTTAATTCCGAGCATTTTCTTATTTATCTACCTTTTATTCTCTGGATTTTAACAAATAATTCAAGACCAAAATTAGCCAAATCGGTCCAGCCGTTCTCGAGTTTTAGCGAGACTAACGAACAGCAATTCATTTTTATATATATATGTATATAGATTTATATTTTTCACGTCTTGGAATCCTTTCGTTAACAACTATAATATACGTTAGGCATCAATGTAATAAGTGTAAAATTTTCCCTTTACTACATAATCTGGTAGTCTTTAGAGGCTATGCCAGCGTAACCAAACGCGTATGTGAGCTTACTGGGCCCTAGCCTGAAGACGTTGCTAACACTAGTCCTAGCAAGAGCCGTGCTTCGCAGAATCTACCACCGGATCGAAAACGCGACCCACTGAGAAGATCCGGCGAGAAATTCAATAGGCTCTGTCAGTGGGTTAAAGTGTGCAATGAGCTTGTATGCCTAACTTAATGACCGAGACATTTTGGCGAAGAAGATGCTCTTGAGCTGTTAGGTCTCCTTTGGAGGCGCTCGGGCAGTTGTTAGCAAATTTCACCGCTCCTGACTGAGCTTTTGCTCGCCCGCCTATCCTGGTGAAACTGGAAAGGCCTTAGGGCCACAAATAATACGACCTTTCTAAAAAAAAATTTACCGCGATGACTTACTCGTGTCGTGCAGCGCTTTGGTGAGCTTCCCATCTCATTGAAATGCACGCACACGTCACCGACATGTACCGAGCATTGTTCGCCTGTAACTGTCAGCTGCCATCCCTACTAGGCGACCTGAATGGACTATTTTTGGGTTACTATCTTGCGTGGGAACGGCTTCTATTGAACATTTCGACTGTAGTACTCGACATTAACATTGATATTGCTTCTTAATAATGTGTGCTTTAAAATTTATATGGTCGTACGGTATATTAATTATTGTACATACAGCATTTTTGGGGATGTCGATTTTATATAGATTCTAAATGCATTTCTTTGTTTGGTTCTGCCAAATTGTTTCTGGTTTCCATAGTACATGGAGTTCTAGTTTGAAGTAATCTATTATTTGTTCCGAATTCATTTAAAAAAAATAACTCTTATATTTAACTAGCTTTTGCCCGCGACTTCGTCCGCGTGGAATAGTTACTTTGGCATAACGCTAAATTTTACCCGCCTCTTCATTTACGTAGAAAGTGAACATATTTTTTAATAATAGAGAATGCTAAGGAGGTATTTAAAGTACCAAAATCACGCTTTTTAACCGACTTCAAAAGAGGAAGTTATCAATTCGACCATAATTTTTTATCTATGTATGTTCACCGATTTCTCGAGAATGCTTAAACCGATTCTGATAATTATATTTTTTTCTTGTTAGATGGGGTAGACTTCCCAAATGATCCTGTAATCATCAAGATTTGATGATGGGATCCTAGAGAAATCCAGAAAAATCTATAATTGTCAAAGCCTATCTTCAAATGATTTTGGTATTTCAATGTTGTAATAAATAAGGTATTTATTTGGATAGGGATTAATATCATATTTATAAAAACACCTTCAGAAATAATGTTTTATTTTAGAACAAATTTGGTTAGCATAAAAAACGTTATAGTGAGCCAACCTTAACATATAGACATATGCTGTCGCAGACTTTTTTTTAGATATTTTAAAGGGGAACAATACTGTTATACATTATTTTAGCGAAACTTTAACCGTTTCCGCAGAGCACGCAGCGGAAGCTCTCAAAAGGGAAAAAACCCCAGATTTTGAAACATTATTTATGGGTGCTTTTTCTTATCTTAGCATGATGTTATATAGCCTATAGCTTTCTTCAATTAATGACCTATCTGACGGTGAAAGAATTTTTCAAATCGGACCAGTAGTTCCTGAGATTAGCGCGTTCAAACAAACAAACTCTTCAGCTTTCTAATATTAGTATAGATAATTATATTAATGTTCACCCTGTTCATTAGAGTTCTGCACATTGAGTAGTTCTTGAGCCAACATGACGTATATCCGGTCTTAGGCACCTGGAGAAACGCTTTCCGCAGTTGAATATAAAGTTGTTGTTTTCGTTTGTTCCAGCCCGCCTACGTTTAAGACCCTGACGCCCACATCTCGCACACAACTGAAGCAGCAGTTGATGCGAGAACATGCCCAGGAGCAGCTGCGAAGAGAATCACAAGTGAGTAACGAAATTAAACCATAAATCGAATGTAATAAAGTCAAAATTGCTTTCCCGGGTGTGCATAAGTTTTTTTTTAATGCTTAGATGGGTGGACAAGCTCACGGCCCACCTGGTGTTAAGTGGCTACTTCAGCCCATATACATCTACGACGTAAATGCCACCACCCACCTTGAGACATGAGTTGTAAGGTCTCACTTTTAACAGTACAACGGCTGCCCCGCCCTTCAAACTGAAACGCATTACTGCTTGACGGCAGAAATGTGCAGGGTGGTGGTACCTACGCAAATTACGCAAATTATAATTTTGCAGGTTTGATTTTTATTACACGATGTTATTCCTTCGCTGTGGGAGTCAATCGTGAACATTTGTTAAGTACGTATTTCATTGGAAAAATTCGTACCTGCCGGCGGGATTCGAACACCGATGCATCGCTACATGCGAATGCACCGGACGTCTTATCCTTTAGGCCACGACGACTTAAGGTCGGAGAGCAAACTAAAATATGTATCATACGATTTTCAGAACCAACAAGCTGGACAATCCAAAGACAATGAAGATCATAAAAAGAAGTCCTCGCCGACGGAGGTGCCTAGGATTACGCCACACGTCGAATTACCGCCACAAGTCCTACAGGTAAATGCTGTACTTATCGATCGGTGAAAGACTTTTTTTTTCTTGCCCTTGTAGGCAGACGAGCACACGGCCCACCTGATGGTGAGTGGTTACCGTCGCCCATGGACTTCAGCAATGCCAGGGGCAGAGCCGAGCCGCTGCTTACATTGCTATTTGGTTTAAGCGACATTTTTGCAACTTTACAAAGTGCCATTTAAAGTTTAAAATCTGGAAAAAAAATTACAACAAAAATAAAACTTCTTCAGCCATTTGAATGGAGTCAACTTAATTGAAGTTCAACTAAAAACATCGAACTGTTGATGCTAATAACAAATAAAACGCACCTTTAATTGCAAAGATAAATGCCGCTTAAACCAAATAGTCTTTTAGAGAGAGAGAGAGAATACACTTTATTTCACACCAAAACACAATTTACATTCAAAAAACAGTCAAAAAGCAAATACATTTGTACAATAGGCGGTCTTACCGCTAAAAGCGATCTCTTCCAGACAACCGTTTAACTTACAGAAATTCTGGAAAATATAAAACATGTATGCAAATATAGCAGGTATGTTTGCGGTGTACTATAGACAATACATTATTATAGAAAATATATACATACAATAAACAGATATATGCCGTTTACATATAATATGAAATATGTAACTAATTGATTTCTACCTCTCGATATGCTTATGTGACATAGTGGAATAAAATGTCTAAAGCTGTAAGCCAATTTGCTAAAGCTTTATAATTAACGAAATTGTTATAGAAATAGTAAATTCCGATCTTTCTGTCATTTTGTCAGCTTTTAAAACGCTCCATATCTTGCCCCTTTTGATGGTTAGCTGCTTTAACCCTCAGACACAGCCCACTGAGTTTCTCGCCGGATCTTCTCAGTGGGTCGCGTTTCCGATCCGGTGGTAGATTCTGCGAAGCACGGCTCTTGCTAGGGTTCGTGTTAGCAACGTCCTCAGGCTTGAGCCCCGTGAGCTCACCTACTAGTTAAGGCGACGCTGATATAGCCTCTCAAGGCTATCAGCTTAGGTAGGGAAAAAAATGGTTAGCTGGAAACTAATTCAAGGTAATCAGGTCTTCAGGGTATATTTATGGTTTTCAGGTCCGAACAGTTCTGGAGAACCCCACCAGGTATCACGTGATACAGAAGCAGAAGAGTCAGGTACGGCAGTACCTCAGCGAGTCCTTCCAACCACACACACAGGTCAGTGAAGTTTGGTTGTTTTTTTTTAATACGCTTTTATTAGCTTCAGACGTATGTATGTTAGTATGTAACGGAATCTTTGAATATGATTTTGACTTCCTTCAAAACGTCGGATTAACTAGAAATTTGTCATACTTATTAAGTACCGATGAAAATTCAATATATAAAAAAGAAATTGAAAAAATTGAAATTAAAGTAAAAAATGAAAAATAAATAATATGTAGTTTAAAAAAAATCGCATTTCTAGAAAATCCAGCTAAAAAATATAAAATAAATTTTAAAAATTTGGATTAAAAATAGTGTAAGAAAAAATGATTTTATTGTAAAAAAGCGTGGGGTGCTTTTCAGGATATTATCAAAATAACCCTTCTACTCATATCTGTTCATAAAATTTTTATAACTACTGATACCATGCACCCCACGCTTTTTTTTTTACAATAAAATCATTTTTTCTTACATTATTTTTAATTCAAATATGTTAAAATTTATTTTGTTATAACTCAGAATGGATTGTGTATAATTGTAAATAGACATGCTTTAACAAAAACCGACTTCAAATAGCAAAAAAAGAGATATTCCAAAACAAATTAATATACACTAAAAACAATAATCATCGAAATCGGTTCGCCTGATATTGAGTTATTGAGTTATTCATCTATTTATCGCGCACGTACTTAAAGCAAATGTAAGACTTCTATAGTTTTCTCATGAATGCCATTATCAGAACTGGACTAAATTTAAATGGGACCACACGGGAAGAGTCAGCTTTCTAATAAAAAAAGAATCATCAAAATCAATTCACCCAGTCAAAAGTTTTAGAGGTAACACATCTCCTTTTTTTGATGTTGGTTAAAAATAGCGGATAATAATGTCATGAAAAAAGCACAATAACAAGCTTGGTCATAATTTTGATTGATTTATGTTGACGTATTTGCGTCAGTTAAGAGTTTCATTTCGGAATTTTTCCCTAAAACCATACACATAATAATATACTATGTGCGAAAAAATAAAAAGGTTTCTTGAGTGAGGACCGCGGACCGATAAGCGTAGTATAGGCGTGCCCCTAGTGCCAGTAGTGCTGTGATTCGCGAAGGGTGGCCAGCAGGAAATGGATGAGGGGAGCCGAAGACCAGGCTCATTGGTGTAAATTCGGAGAGGGCTATGCCCAGCAGTGGACGACTGGGGGCTGATGATGAAGAATGAAGTGATAATAGATATAATAAATAGATAATAAAATAAAAAAATTATTGCATTGCGGTGAGCTTCCTCACTGCACGTCCAGTGTGAAGTGGTTACCAAAGTAAACGCTCTCACATTAACACATGACGACGATGATGGTGGTAGGACCTCTTGTGAGTCCGCACGGGTAGGTACTACCACCCTGACTATTTCTGCCCTGAAGCAGTTCGGCTTGAAGAGTGGGGCAGCCGTTGTAACTATACTGAGACATTAGAACTCATATCTTAAGGTGGCATTGACGTTGTAGATGTCTATGGGCTCCAGTGACAACTCAAGACCAGGTGGGCTGTGGCCTCGTCTTAAGCAATAAAATTATGATTTTTCATCGGATACTTTTTCGAAGGAGTGTTTTGTTTTAATACGCAGGCATATAATTGTTGTTGCGATGTCTCTAGGTGGCGACAACACGTGGTCCGCCCACGCAGTCAGCGCCTGAGCTCGGTGCCAAACCACCGGCATCGCCAGACCGGCCGTCTTCGAGTTTGCTCAGCCCAGGAATGTGCTCTGTCGGCACTAATAACTCGGAGGTCAGTACGCTCAATAAAGGTCCGAGAATGGTTCGGAGCTGGTAGATGCAATCGTAAACGTGTTTCATAGACGATTCTACTGGTGGTAGGACCTCTTGTGAGTCCGCGCGGGTAGGTACCATCGCCTTACCTATTTCTGCCGTGAAGCAGTAATGCGTTTCGGTCTGAAGGGTAGGGCAGCCGTTGTAACTATACTGAGATCTTAGAACTTATATCTCGAGGTGGGTGGCGCATTTACGTTGTAGATGTCTATGGGCTCCAGTAACCACTTAACACCAGGTGGGCCGTGAGCCCGTCCACCAATGTAATAAAAAAAATACGAAACTTTATTTCTTTATTAAAAACAAACAAGAAAATAACAGAAAAAGGAATTTATGGGAAAAAGTCGATGAAATAAATTCAATTTTAAAAAAGCTTGGCTTGCTTGGTTGTTCATCCTTGCTCTATACGAAAGCACCGGATGTCACATCCTTTAGGTCATATTAAGAGAATTTGATATGAAATTATGAAATGAAAATAATGAAACTATGAAAATAATATTTTACTGAGCACAAGCTATTCCATTTTTGTTGTCCTACCTTACTCCTAAGATAGGTTATCTCATGCCTACGAGAATGATTACTCAATGTCTTAAAATGGTAATATCCTGACACTGACTGACTATAAATAATCTTGATTATCTTATCATGTTCCATTTTGAGTTTTTTGGATGAAAATATGATGAATATTACACATGTGAAATACCCTTACTTATAATTTAAATGTACATGAATGCCGCGCTTTGCGACATGCGACAAATGGATGCGGGTCTTCGTACCACCTTACGGGGGCATGGGGTGTGCCTTGGGGCAACCCCACTGCCCGGGCAGAAGCTCCCTGCCACACAGGGCAGGGGAGAGATGGGGGGGGGGTTCTGTTCGCAGCGTGCTCGGTCGCAGTTTATCGGTAACAATTGCTCACCCTTTGACTGTCATGTAGGTCACCGGTGCCCTACGCGGCGCACTTAAGTGATTATGTCGACTTCCGTTCTCTTATTAAAATATATACTATATTCCGGTCTGAAGAGCCGGGTAGTCGTCACTTGAATGCATCTCCTAACCATATCAATGAAAGCAGTCAGCACTCACTAACTCTCATGGTGATACTGAAAATCAGATTGAGATCAAAGTCTCACAGCGGCCAGTAGCTTTGACCACCTAACCTTTGTCCACTTCCTGCAGGCTGACGAGTTCCTAGAAGACATATTATCCCTGGACAGCGGCGCCGGACCCCTGTCATCGTCGGGCCCCCCCTCAGCCGCCAGTTCCGTGGCGGGGGACTGCGCGATGCTCTCCGATGCGGACATGCACGCGCTCGCTAAAGACCGACAGAAAAAAGACAATCACAACATGAGTGAGTTTTATTATTACAGGAGATTGGGCGGAATCGGGATTCTTTCCAATTCCAACACAAATTTTCAGCGGTTTCTCTTAGGGTTGTAGCAATAAAATTGAGATTAAAACGGTTCAGGAGGTTAAAACTTTCATATATGATGCATTATTATTCATAGTTCGTTGAAAAATATACACAAAAACTTAAAAGACTAGCTTGACCTGATCCAGCTTGGGGTTCGGGGTCACGTATGGGGACAATAGAGTTTTTCGATAGGGCTCTAGCACTGTTTAGTTATTAGGTTAGATAATAAACTTTTCAATATCTTTAATCAGTTACAAAACTCTAATGACTAAATTAAATTATTTCATATTCATACACATCATATAAAAGTCCTTTTCAATTCAAAAAATTTTAAAACCACAAAAGCATTGTAGCATTGTAAATTCCCCCCAATCTACGGTAGTTAAAATTAATGCTTTGCACGCAATGGATCGCTACTTAAAATTAGCTGACACGTCAGGTTAACGACCTATGTCAGCCGGAGGAGCTGCCAATGTGTTACATTGCAGCTCCAGCATCAGTGTTGGAAAATGATTATTTTTTTGTAAACGATTATTGAGTTAAATGCAAATGTGTAAATATACTTTATCAGGGCCCCCTTTATATACCCGATCCTGTAGACCGAATGGTAAACAGTCGACGTCGCCCAAACCACGACATTACGGATCCTCCTGATCCATTAACGGTGCTTTTAGGCACCACAAGCACCGGTCACCGTCCTCGTCGAACCCGTCGCTTGCGACGAAGGGCTCGACGAGCGAATTAACCCACAGACACAGCCCACTGAGTTTCTCGCCGGATCTTCTCAGTGGGTCGCGTTTCCGATCCGGTGGTAGATTCTACGAAGCACTGCTCTTGCTAGGGTCAGTGTTAGCAACATTCCGGTTTGAGCCCCGTGATTTCACCTAAACACGTTAGGGTGAAGCTGAAATAGCCTCTCAAGGCTATCAGCATAGGTAGGAAAAAAAAAGGTCCCACAAAAATGAAAGCGCGGAGACCCTCATTGAGGCATCTTTGCAGTAGTAATTCTAGTAATTAACTCTATTCCTAACAGCCTACCCAAAATCGGTGGCTAGAGCGACAAACGAATGTACTCCCCTTCTGTTCAAGTCGAGCGCCGTCGGAGATTCAATATAAACGACCGGATAAAGGAGCTTGGTACGTTGCTGCCGAAGACGAATGACCCCTTCTACGAAGTGATACGGGACGTGAGGCCGAACAAGGGGACAATACTCAAGAGCAGCGTCGACTACATCAAGTGCCTGCGAGACGAGGTCAACAGGCTCAAGCAGAGCGAGCAGCGGAGGAAGCAGATCGAACTCCACAACCGGAAGCTGATGCTCAGGATACAGGTCCGTTGTGTTTATTTATTATATACGTTGTAGATAAGCAATAAAAAAAGTAGGTAGGTAGGTAATTTTTTGCCTATATATCGATCTATCTATTCTGGCTTCACCGTGGCTGGCAGCTGAGCTCATGGGGTTCAGCCTGTAAGATTTCGCTAATATTTTTCTGTAGTAAAAGCAAAAAGCTGGATCTACCACAGAATCAAAATCACGGCGACCCATTGTAATGAACCGGCGAGAAACTGAGTGGGTTGTGTTAGTAGGTGCTTTTTTTACAAGAAAGTCATTTTTTCTGACACTATTTTTAATTCAAATTTATTAAAATTTATTTTCTATTTTATACTTGGATTTTCTATAAAAGCGTAATTTGTTAGTTTTTTTAAAGTACTCTTTATTCTATGATGTTATCGCACGTGACGGTTCTCTTTAAGCCGCCGTCGCCCGATGCATGTCTTGTCGGATCCCCTGGATTCACTCTCGGTGCTTTTAGATCTCTCGAGCACCGGTCACCGTCCTCGTCGAACTCTTGTGAACTAATCCATAGATACAGCCCACTGAGTTTCTCGCCAAATCTTCTCAGTGGGTCGCGATTCCGATTCGGTGATAGATTCTGCTAGTGTTAGCAAATTTTCTTAGGTTGAGCCCGTGAGCTCACCTACACGTCCGGGCGTAGCTGGAATAGCTTCTTAGGCTACCAGCGATTAGGTAGGGAAGAAAAAAGCTCCCTTACACTCCATTACAAGGATAATGTTGGTTTATGTTCTGTTCCCTTTGTTCTGCAGGAGTTGGAGCGTCTGGCGCGCGTGCACGGGCTGCCGGTGTCGGGCGGGGAGGGCTCCCCCCCGCACGCCGCGCCCCCCGCCGCGCCCCCCGCGCCGCACGACGAGCCGCCGCCCACGCAGCCTGTACGTACTAGACTTCACTTTAGAAAGAGACAAACAACCTATTGACGTATGATGGTTGTCTCTTTTTTTACTGGTGGTAGGTGCCTATTTCTGTCGTGAAGCAGTAATGCGTTTCGGTCTGAAGGGTGGGGCAGCCGTTGTAACTATACTGAGACCCTAGAACTTATATCTTAAGGTGGGTGGCGCATTTACGTTGTAGATGTCTATGGGTTCCAGTAACCACATGTCGCTTTTTCGTTTCATTCCAAATCAGAACGAAGTCAAATGAATATTAGCTATAAAAATTAATTTCTATGATATCCAGGAGGTGGTACTGCCGAAGACGGAGCCTGCACCCCTCATGGAGCTTAACGAGCCGCCCCCGGACTTACTCCGGGACATGCCCTCAACGGAATGCCTCTCAGCCTTGGACGCTTTAGGTGTGCTAAATTTGATATGCCCTTGGAAATTCGTAATATGTCCCGCCCTAGACACGTCCTTACGGATCCATCAGATCCAATAACCTTTGCACTAGACACCTTCAGCTCTAACACTGGTAGCAGGCTTAGGGACCCCGGTAACCGTACTCGTCCATGCATCAGTCCGCTGAGTTTCTCGTCGAATCTTCTCAGCGGGTCGCGATTCCGATCCGGTAGTAGATTCATTCGCGAAGCAGCTGCTCTTGAGTTGTTAGGTCTCCTTCGGAGGCGCTCGGGCAGCTGTTAGCAAATCCCGCCCCTTCTGGCTGAGCCTTTGCTCGCCCACCTGTCCTGGTGAAACTGGAAAGGCCTCCGGGCCACCAGTCATACTTTAATCATAAAAAAAGATGTGTTAAGTAGAAGTGTAAGAAGAAAGTTATGAGGTAACAAACATAAATCTTACGTTACGGACGTTTTTTCCCGGTGCATCGTTTTTTCCCTCTGCACCGTCCCATAAGGAATTTCGTTCAAAAAAAAAAAGTGTCCTTTGATATCGGCCCGTAGACTTGCATAGTCGTATATAACAATGTCCCAGCGTACAACTGAAACGCAAGATGGTTTGGCGATAAAAATAGGTGTATTTGGCACTTTCTCAGACGAACTTTCCTATAGACACAGCTCACTAAGTATCTCGCCGGATCTTCTCAGTGGGTCGCGATTGCGATCCGGTGGTAGATTCTGCGAAGCACGGCCCTGGCTAGGGTTAGTGTTAGCAAAGTCTCTCAGGTCGAAGCCCGTGATTTTACCTACTCGTTCAAGCGTAGCTAAAATAGCCCTTTAGATTTCCAGCGAATTGGTAAAAAAAATGGCGAGCTGACGCACGCGTGAATTCCTTCAACCGTAAGACAAGTAGAATACTATGATTTTACAAATATTAATTGGTACAAACAAGTCTTATAATCAATAGTGCCCGTCGTTACACTCAATCAATGTTTCTGTTGTTTATTCGATATCCATGAAAATGGTTTCCTGAAATAGTCATCTCTCTGTTTTACCTTTTTTTTTAAACCTAAGATGGTAGCCTTGAGTGGCTATATCAGCGTAACCTTAACTAGTAGGTGAGGGCTCAAAGCTGACAACGTTGCTACCACGAATCCCAACAAGAGCAGTGCTTCGCAGAATCTACCATCGGATCGGAAACGCGACCCACTGAGAAGATCCGGCGAGAAACTCAGTGGGCTGTGTCTGAGGGTTCATTTACTCGTTGAGCTCTCTGTTTTACCCCGATCCAACATAATGTAATAATAATGTATGTGATAAAAAAAACTGTCTTCCCTGGTACACAGATGGCGTTATTAATAAATTTTCTTAATTTTGATTTTTTTGTGTTGTTCGCAGACGGTCTGAAGTTAGGATCCTGTTCGCCTCTGAGTCGAGACGAAGGCCTCTCGTTGGGATGTCTAGAACCGGATCTGTGCCTAGATCCAGTTCCGGAGAACCTGTTTAGTCATAAGGATATCAAGGTACTGAAAAGTAATTTTTGCTATTTCGGCCTCAAAAAAAGGACATTCTTGTGTGTTTATTGAACTATCGGTTCTAGAATCACCACAAGGTGAGTGGGTGCGTCCGCTGTAATGTCTATGGATACTGTGGTCAGATTGGCTTCGTAATTTTATCTGTTCTTACAATGTTAAACAGATGCGTCTGTCTCCACTGCTGGGGCCCGAGGACAGCAACGCGGCACTCAACCTCGCGCAGATAGAAGACCTCATGGATGACGACTCACACAATCCAGTCACCCAAGGTATACGATACATTTGTAATAAACTATAATAAGTAATTTGTTGCCTCCTAAGTCAGACGAACTAACCCACAGACACAGCCCACTGAGTTTCGCGACGGATCTTCTCAGTAAGTCGCGTTTTCGATCCAGCGGTAGATTCTGCTAAACACTGCTCCGGCTAAAGCTAGTGCTAGCAAATTCTCTCAGGTTGAGCTCGTAAGCTCACCTAACCGTCCGAGCGTAGCTGAAATAGCCCCTTAGGCTAACAGCGAATAGGTAGGAAAAAAAAAGCAGATGAAACTGATGGTCGGCGATTACCGTCTTTCAAGAATACGCCTAATGGCGTTGTTCATTACTTTCATTCCCATCGTCTTTGACACATAAATTGAATTAAGCATGCTGTGAGAGTGAGAGAGAGAGAGTATTCTNAGCTCACCTAACCGTCCGAGCGTAGCTGAAATAGCCCCTTAGGCTAACAGCGAATAGGTAGGAAAAAAAAAGCAGATGAAACTGATGGTCGGCGATTACCGTCTTTCAAGAATACGCCTAATGGCGTTGTTCATTACTTTCATTCCCATCGTCTTTGACACATAAATTGAATTAAGCATGCTGTGAGAGTGAGAGAGAGAGAGTATTCTTTATTGTACACCAAAAAACAAATAAACAGTGCGATACATTAAACACAAAAAAATACAATTGGCGGTCTTATCGCTGTGATTGGTAACATTCGGTTTTTGCTGATCATGACAGTCGGCCTGGTTTCATGCACATTGAAATCCATCTTTACACCGAGTATACTTATTAAGTTATTAATAAGTTAATTTATTAAGCGGTCACAATTGCCTTCTGTTCACATTAAACCATATCTACTGCTGAAAGAGCGATAACTCTCTTCTTTACTTATACCTGAAGATATAGTGGGAATGTCCCTAAAAATTAGGCGTGACTTGTTCTCATAATACACTGCGCCATTATAAACTATATATACTAACGAATAATTATCATTGCTTCTTAAAGGTGACCCGATGTTGTGTTCGTCGCCCACCTCGCAGCTGTGCCTGAGCGACGTAGTGGCCGAGGCGGCTGACCGGAATATATCGTCAATGCTACACGACGATCACGCAGGGTTCCCACACAACACCGGCAACTGTTAGTATATCTACTTAGAATTTAGTCATTGTCAAATAAAATTCTATTGCTGATCTTTAAAGACGTATTAAGTACATGGTTATTTGGCATTGCTGAAGTCCCTGGGCGACGGTAACCACTCACCATCTGGTGGGTCATAAGCTCGTCTGCCTACAAGAGCAATAGAAAAAAATATGATTCTTGATTCACTTACGACTATTGTGAATTCATCATAAAGTCATAAGGTCTGCTATAGGCCATGAAAATAAAAATCTAATCACAAAACTAACTTATTCCCTGTCTCTATTAGGTTCGTCTTTAATGTCCGAAAGCTCACTAGGCCTCGGAGGTCTCGGAGCTCTGACTGAAGGCTGCCTCCCGAGCTTTCTGATGGGAGGTCCCCACCACCACGCCCCGCACTCGCCCCACTCGCATCCTCGGCAGCACTGCTTCGACATGGACCTCGGGGCATGATAACAAACAACACAACTTTGGTGCTTTTAGGACATAATCAAAGTGAATACTAGTGTATAATAGTAGGGACATAAATTTAGAACAACGCCATCTGTTGGCCGAGGTGTGAACTAAACCGGTGCTGCCATCATCTTCCAAAGTGAAATGAACACGCTGTCTTCCGTGAAGTTCCTTTATCTCCTTGTACAACATTTATTTCGATACGAAATATATTGTCTATTTAAATAATATAAATAAATGTTCAATATAAGTAATGTGATTAGTTAATGCGTCGTTTGTTAATTAAATATTAATTGTTGATCGAAAAGCTCAGTGTTGCTATTGATGAAATTTTTATTGTAACTCAAGTAAGTCGAAAATTTTGATGTGAAATTGGTATTAATTGTATTTTTAGGCGCCTTCGTATTTTTGAAGGTGTTTTTAATTACGTAAAGGAAAAACATGAGTATATTATTTAAAACGAAGTTACCAGCATACGAATTTCCTACTAAGTTAGTAAAAAAAAAGATAAGAATAACATAAGACAATAAAATGTTCATATGATGAACGTAACAATTATGCAATACAGTTAAAAATAAAAGTGGTATAAAGAGCTATTTAAAAATATGTAATCTTATTCCGCATCTTGTATCTATTAAATGATTATGATTCTAGAGAGAGAAAAAAAATCGATTCATAATCGGTCAATCGTATCAGTGTTGCCATAAAAGCTGAATTAAGGCATCTTCTTCTCAGTATGTGATATTAAACGCACAAAAGAATTAATATATTTTTATAGTATTTAAGTTTTTTTTTTCTTTCCAAACTCGTCCAAAGCTCGTTTTGAGATATGGTGCTTTTGATACCGCACACATTTCTGTTTGTTGTCGCTTGATATTACAAAGTGTTATTTAGTGCATATTAAAATTCAACTTTGAAGAGTTATCTTATTATCCGTCATAGTCTTCGAAATTATTACAATGTTTTTTTTTGTTTTTTTTTTTTAAATCCGATTAATTCCGTTTCGAATTTAATTTAGCGTTAGTTAATACGTACAAACGTGCATTAAGTTTTGCAATTAAAGACACGAGTGGATGAAGGCGATATGATACAATTTGTTAATTTTGAGAAAACGGGCAGCAGACTTTTGTTACTTGTAATTTTTATTCGTAAATAACTCCTTCATCATATGCAATTTCTAAAAATAGCCTTTAAACTCGAAGTTTTAAGGTCTAATATGGTTTATAGGCACACAACACCTTTATTCAATGTAAAAACTCAAAAATTTTAAAAATGGTACTTAACCCCTTCATCCACTCATGTCTTCAATTGTGTGTATGTACACGTGTCGTAACCAAGACACACAATCATGTACAGATAAGTATTAATGTGATAAAATAATAAAATATAATATAAATATACACACATAAATATTTTTAGATGGAGTTTATTGATGTATGTACGTCATACGTCAAACGTATTTATTTTAACGTGAAATTAATAATACTGATTGCATTGTATTCATGTGCCTTCTGAGCTGAATTTAACGAAGCGCTCTGTAAATATATTATTAATATTGTTTTTGAATCACTAGTTACATATAACACGTTTTATTTAAATGAATTGTTATGTTTTTTTTTTTGAAATGTGACGTCACGTTACGGAGGCTGGAGAGATTGCAAGATTTTGTGAAATTCGAATTTAATTGAGGCCGTCAGCGCAAAAGTGGCCTTAGCTTACCATAATTATTATGAAGTTTTCATATGAATTTGAATTTGAGTAGGCATTAAAACAATACGCGCAAAAATAATGTTTACAGAACCATCTGTTATCTATGGGTGAAACTATGGATAGGCCGGTTTTCCATCAAAATCACTACATAGTATAAAACAAAGTCGCTTTCTCTGTCCCTATGTATGCTTAAATCTTTAAAACTGCGCAACGGATTTTGATGCGGTTTTTTTAATAGATAGAGTGATTGAAGTGGAAGGCTCATATGTATAATAACGTCCATTAAATTGTGGAGAAATACTGTTATTTTTAAGGTTCCTAATGTGAGGTCGTAAATAATCAATAATAAAATTTCATGTTTCCGAAGCGAAGCAAGGGCGGGTCGCTAGTTTATTATATTTTAAATAAATTGCAATAAACATAATTATAAGCGTGATTATGAAAAATTGTGGGTTAGGCCACTTTTGCGCTGACGGCCTCAATTTTTGAGATGATGATCATCCCAAACTCTAGGATTCTGAGGATTCTCGTCACCGATAAAAACGATTGTTGTAATGTTACGTGACTTAATCGATCGAGTGACATATAGAGTTGTCATCGAATAGAAAAAAAATCGATTAAAATCTGAATTGGACCGGCGATAATTTCAATAAATCTCACGTGCAGGGTGTAGAGAATAAATTTCCGAAAATTATGATTATTTTTTTAAACAATTCACGTAGATTGGGGGAATTGGGACCCTTTCCAAATCTAACACAAATTTTCAATGGTATTTCTTAAACTAATAAAATTGAGATTGAAATGGCTCCGGAGGGTTAAAACTTTGTATAATTATTATACATAGTTCAATATACACAAAAACAGAAAAAAAACTAGCTTGACCCGATTCACCTTGGCCTTGAGGTGAATCAGGTTAGAGACAATATAGTTTTTCGACAGGGCTGGCACTATTTAGTTGTTAGGTAGGTACCTAACTTTAGGCAATTAAATTTTTTATATATTTAATGAGTTACAAAACTTTGATGACTAAATTAAACTATTTAATATTCTTAAACACTAAATAAAAGTCATTTTGAGTTCAACAAAGTTAAATCTAACAACTCAACAAAAGTATTGTGACATCCCAGATTTCCTATTCTAACTGTAATCTCTATTCCCCCCAATCTACTGTATTTTTTTTTTTATACAAAAAACTTTATTCAACTGTAAATTTTATAATGTCTTTTTACGTATAGACTATGTAACCTCGATGGTGGCTTCGTGTCTCGACGCGTCACACTGTGATGTCCATGGACTCCGGAACCACTTAACACCGGGTGGGCCGTGAGCTCGCCCGCCCGTAAAGGCAACTAATGTCAATGTCAATGTTAGAGGTGTAGGCTAGTAGTTTTTTTTTTTTTATCACGTTCTAATCGTATGATGATGATGAAAATATGATGATCGACTCCCGGGAACTCTGTCTTCATCCTGCACGCACCAGTCTGACGGTGCCTTGTCGCTCCGGTGGACGACCTACCTATATCCGTCACACAAACACATACAAAAACTGATATTGAATAGACAGTGAGAATTCAAACTTAGCAATAATGATTTAGTAAAAATAAATTTAATGCTTTTTTTTTCGTCTTTCAACTGATTGGCTTTAAATTAAAAGAAATTGTTCTCTTTGAGGTTTTTTTTGTAACTTATTGGAAGTAAATCGTAATGGAATTGATATATGAAAAAAAAAAAATAATAAAAAAGGGAAACAATAATATACAGCCTTACACTGGTACGGATACGATGGAAGCCAAGAACAAAACGTATTATCTATATTTATAAGGATTTTTAATGAAACAGTGATCAATTTAATTATTTTTAATGTTTAGTCCATAGGTTAAATAAAAAAATTGAATCGTTTTTTTTTTTTGTTGTTATCAAAATATTTATGGTGATGATGCGTGCGGTTGTGTGTCGCTCGATTTTATGATCGTCTAAAAATTATTAATAATCAATATTTTTTAATGTTTTATTAGAAAAAGTTGTATAGATAAATTCTACAAAAAATTACATAGCATATAAAAACATATTTTCTACATTATTATTTTTTGTGAATGTAATCATTATATTTTTGATATGGCAATATGGCGAAGTGCACGTCAAATCGAGCGCGGGAAAAACGTTTTATTTATGAATGTTATTTAATATTGTATGAGATTAAATAAAAAGAGAAAGATACAAAAATGTGAAGTACAAAAAAAATACTGAATGCAATAATTGAATGCAAGAATAAAATTGGTGTTTTATTTAAAATGTCCGTTCCCGGCTGAAGGGTAAAAGTGAATGTTCTTTTTTTTCCCTACCTATGCTGATAGCCTTGGGAGGCTATTTCAGCTTCACCCTAACGTGTGTAGGTGAGTCCCGTTTGCTAGGGCAAGAGCAGTGCTTCGCAGAATCTACCACCAAATCGGAAACGCTACCCACTGAGAAGAACCGGCGAGAAACTCAGTGGGCTGTGTCTATGTGTTAATTCGCTCGTCGAGTCCTTCGTCGCAAGCGACGGGTTCGACGAGAAAGGTGACAGGTGTTTGTGGTACCTAAAAGCACCGTTAATGGATCGACAAATCTTCTGTTGTTTTGATCGGCGCAGTACTTCATGGCTCCACGGGCTTTAAGCGACTCCTAACAGACACAACAACGCAACATCATATCATCGCCCATAATCGTCCGTGGTCCAGTTTGAAGACGGCCGCAGTTGTACGACGCTCTTATTCTTTTTATTGCCTAAATGGGTGAACGAGCTCACAGCCCACCTGATGTTAAGTGGTTACTGGAGCCCATAGACATCTACAAGGTAAATGCGCTACCCACCTTGAGATATAAGTTCTAAGGTCTCAAGTATAGTTACAACGGTTGCCCCACCCTTCAAGCCGAAACGCATTACTGCTCCACGGCAGAAATAAGCAGGGTGGTGGTACCTACCCGCGCGGACTCACAAGAGGTCATACCACCAGTCCAGATTCGATATATGTGCAATTTTTTTGAAGGGAAATGCGAAGTCAAGTCATACTCACAAAAGCATGTATAAATTTGCCTTAGCAAATTACAAATAGCACTTTTGTAAACCCGTAAAATACGCGCTCCAGTTTTAAGAGTTAAGGTGGGTGGCGGCATTTACGTTGTCGATGCTTATGGGCTCCTGTAACCACTTAACCCCAGGTGGGCCGTGAGCTCGTTCACCCATCTAAGCAATAAAAAAAAGTGAGATTATTAGATTTACCTCGTGTGCTTTGAACACTAGAAATATCGTGAATTCGTTCACGCGTATAGTCTAAAAGAACATTATTTATTCATAGAAAAAAGAAACTGATAAAAAATACAAAATTACATTGTTATCAATGTAAATAAAGAGCCGTGTCAATAGCTACAGTAATTAAGTTATTCACGTCCTTACGGATCCATCAGTTTCAATAACTCCTGCATTAGACACCTTCAGCTCTGACACTGGGAGCAGGCTTAGGAACCCGGTAATCGTACTCGTCGAACTCGACAAAGAGTTCGACGTGCAACCTAACCTAAACATCAGCCTGCTGAGTTTCTCGCCGGATCTTCTCAGCGGGTCTCGATTCCGATCCGGTAGTAGATTCATTTGCGAAGCAGCTGCTCTTAAGTTGTTAGGTCTCCTTCGGAGGCGCTCTAAGGTTTGCTAACAGTTGCCCAGCTGTTAGCAAACCTTATCACTCCTGGCTGAGCCTTTGCTCGCCCACATGTCCTGGCGAAACTGGAAGGGCCTTAAAAAAAGTTAAGTTATTGATCTCTTAAGCTTGAAGCTTTTGGCTTCTTGACAATACATAAATGCCATTATTTTTAATTTCCATCTTTCAAAAAATTAATTTAAGGTAATTTTTCTTTAAGATCTAGAATCGAAACTCCGTGAAAAAGGCAATAAGGAGATCAAACGTGAATTCCAAAAAAAAAGGTTTTAATGATCATACCAAATAACAATATCTAACATGAACTTTCTCAAACAATGTCACTTAAAAAAAATTACAAAATGTAGCAAACTATTACACCGGCTTAGAGCTCAAATCGATGCCTCCAATGAACACTACTCTAACTCAAAATTTTGAAATTTTCGTTTTTCACGCAAATCACTTCACTATGTTAAAAGTATTACAACTAATCATTATTGATGGAGTTCGAAGCAAGAGTAAATCAGCTAGTTACACAAAAAAATCATAAATATATCTGCAATAATAAAGATTGTATCAATTTTTTTCGTTTAAACGCTCCTCCTGTAAATCTACGAATTTGGAGTTAGCGTAGTGTTCATTGGAGGCATCGAAATTGTATAGCAGTCAGTTAAGATAAGGTAGAGGTCCGTGCAGTGAGCTACAACGACACTGCTATGCAAATCCCACCAGTTACATTCAAAGCCATATTGTTCGTGTACCTAATGGCTTTTTTTAATTGCATTCAAAAGAACGTATTGGAGAAATCATGTCTATGATAATTGAATACTAATAAAAAGGTTTTTATCAGCGCTTAATTTATTTCTTTGAAAAAAGTATTCGAAGTACAGATATAACAACAACAATACGCTAATTTCATGAATATATACAGTAGAAATAGTTCTGTTACACTGCAAGCAAAGAATAATCGAACACGCCCCATTAAATGCAAAAAACTTGAAACGAGATTATGTTCGACCTTAGCTCTCGATCTGCATACGACTCCACCGATCTCTACGGCCACAAATAATCAATGCACAATCTGATCATGTAAAAATCCCCGCTTATTCAGATATTATGTCGCTTGCATAAAAACTGTCGTTAATTCCGGCACGCTCCCGCGGAAACGCATCGTGGTCCCCTCAAAAATAGGAATTCGCAATTATTTTTATTCATTCACGCTGCGTACACAATGGACCGTTTCAAATTTCGTACGAAATTTGCGTTTTTGCATAAAATGGTAGCGCGGGGCGGCGCGTGCGCGGCCGCATTACGATACTGGTGTGACCACGAATTCCTTGTTGTACGGATTTCATAAGGAACTGCTTTTGTGAAGCTGTCCAGTAACTTTTGTTACGTTCCTTGAACAATGTAACCATTAATTACGTATTATTAAATGCGTGGTATGGACATATCTTAAGTAGAGAGAAGATGCATTTGACTAGGGTATGTATGGAAATGGTAGTGCAAGGTAGAGGGGAAGAGGTCGATCGAAGAAGACATGGAGTGTGTGAATGACGATATGAGAGAGAGAGGTGTGAGTGTTGAGATGACGGCTGATAGAAGAGAATGGAAGAGAAAAATTAATCTGTGCCGACCCCACCTAATTCCGCTTCTAAACTTTCTAAACTAAACGCTTTCTAAACTAAAAAGTGGGAGTACAGACTTGCGACGAATCGGTGCTAGGATCCTTCGGTTATGGATGTAGGAACCACAGGGGGCAAATGCTAGTCAACTTCCTTCAGCGTGAGAGGCTCTTTCTAATGAACTCGTTCTTTAAAAAGAAGCCACAAAGGAAGTGGACTTGGCTAAGCCCCGACACTGTGACGAAAAACGAGATAGACTTTATTATGACGGANACGTGTTCTGGAGTGGAGACCGCGAACCGGCAAACGTAGTGTGGGACGCCCTCCTGCTAGATGGAGCGACGACCTGCGCAAGGCAGCTGGCAGTAACTGGATGCGTAAAACCGAAGATCGGGTTCAGTGGCAAGCTTTGGGGGAGGCCTATGTCCAGCAGTGGACTGCCGCAGGCTGATGATGATGATGATGATGATGACCCCACCTAGTGGGATAAGGTGAAGAAAAAGAAGAAGAATTATGTATCATTAAATATTTAAGGTAAATAGAGAAAGCCAGTCAAATAGACAAAAAAATAATTCTGGGCTATCTACATTAGATAGGTACACTATGGTTTATCGGGTTCTACCACCAAGTACTACGGTTTTATTTTTATGAAGTTTTCGATATTTTGGTGTGTTGGAAGCGGCACGATCACGGGTAGACCAGACTCGTGTTGGGAACCCGTTAAATAAAAGCGCGTGTAAATAAATATCAAGGAGTGTAATGGTGTAGTAAGCAAACATCGAAACTTCTTATTAAACCATTATTGTAACACGATTCAAGTATCTAAATTAATGTATGCACAATTTTTTTTATGTTTGAGAAGTTACTGGTGGCCCGGAGGCCTTTATAGTTTTACCAGGGCAGGTGGGCGAGCAAATGCTCAGCCAGGAGGGACAAATTTAATGTAACGTTGGAACAGCTTCGTGTGTTCCCGAAAGCGCGGGAAAAGCAAGAAGGACGCTTCTAATCTGACAGTTGACGTTAGCTTCATTCTGGCGAGTTCATTATAACAAGGAGCGGTCTGGACGTGGCATGCTCACTCAGTTTCTCGCCGGATCTTCTCAGTGGGTCGCGTTCCCGATCCGGTGGTAGATTCTGCGAAGCACGACTCTTGCTAGGGCCAGTGTTACCAACACTCCCGGCTTGAGCCCCGTGAGCTCACCTACACGTCAAGGAGAATCTGAAATAGCCTCTCAAGGCTAGCAGAGTAAGGACATATAAAAAAAATTCATTACCGACCGTAAACACTCATCGAGTGAAGTGTTAACACTATAATTGAGTATTTAAACATGTCTAGTATCCCACAAGGATTCATAGCCACCCGACCGACCATTGTATTAGCCGATATTATAATGCGTTCGATTGATAAAAGCGATACAGTTTCCAACAAATAATTTTTTTTTACACAAATTTAAATGAGTTCCCCCATTCTCAATAATAATAGTGGATTTGCATTGAATGCATTCTTTTTAATGTTTCATACTTCCATTACAAAATGCATACGCGTAATGCTATGTGATTTATATTGCATCGAGATTTTTTGTTTAATTCATACAAAAGATTATCAAATATAAATCTCGACAATAAAATGGAAACAAAGGGATCACAGATAAACACATTAATTGTCTATTTTTATGGTAATAATGGTAATAATTTCAGTTAAATTGAATATTGTTTTTGAGTAGAAAGTCCCTACGAGAACTATTGTTTTTTTTAGCGCATTTCTTACTGGTGGTAGGACCTATTGTGAGTCCGCACGGGTAGGTACCACCGCCCCGCCTATTTCTGCCGTGAAGCAGTAATGCGTTTCGGTTTGAAGGGTGGGGCAGCCGTTGTAACTATACTGAGACCTTAGAACTTATATCTCAAGGTGTGTGGCGCATTTACGTTGTAGATGTATATGGGTTCCAGTAACCACTTAACACCAGGTGGGCTGTGAGCTCGTCCACACATCTAAACAATAACAAAAAAANGGTACCACCGCCCCGCCTATTTCTGCCGTGAAGCAGTAATGCGTTTCGGTTTGAAGGGTGGGGCAGCCGTTGTAACTATACTGAGACCTTAGAACTTATATCTCAAGGTGTGTGGCGCATTTACGTTGTAGATGTATATGGGTTCCAGTAACCACTTAACACCAGGTGGGCTGTGAGCTCGTCCACACATCTAAACAATAACAAAAAAAAACGTATGAAGTAAGTACTTTCGTAATACCCCCGTGGCTTTAATATTTTACCCATCTTCTCAGTGAATCGCGATTCCGATCCGGTGGTAGATTCCGCGAAGCACTGCTCTTGAGCCATCTTATCGTGGCCACCTTACACTTAAAGTATTCCGATTTTGTATTTTTATTTGTTAAGTACCTTCATTTGAGTACGAAAATCTGTAACGGATCTAGATAAATAATTAATACTAACAGAAAATTCCTGGGGTATCCTAAAAAATCTGATTCTAAATAAAAACCTACAGAACTTTATGAATGCCAATAGAACTAACCTGATGTTTTAGCAACAAAAACCACAAACAGAGAGTTATCGTTCTAAAAAACTATTTCTTAATAAACGCTTAAAGAATTATGCTCTATGATAATTGACATTAAGCTTTTATTGACATTCCCAGCACGCAGATATTTTATAACGATTTACAAATAAAATTGTAAAAAAATGTATTGAAGTTAATCGACACGAAAAATGTTGCAAGCAGCGCCAATACCAGTCCACGAACAGTTCCCGGATGTGGATAAAGATGTCAGCGAGGACGTCGTGGAACAATTACAGGTATTAATTAGGCCTTAAATTTCACGTCCTGTTGGATTCATCAGAGCCGCTCTCACGATGGACTCTTCAGGTTTTGACGCTGACAGCAACCATACTATAGGTCGCCGTGTTTGTCGAACTGGTCGCGGTGTGGTATTTAGTCTATGCGCAATTTTTTTTTTTTTTGTTGCTTTGACGGTTGGACGAGTTCACAGTCCACCTGGTACAACATAAATGCGCCACCCACCTTGAGATTTAAGTTCTAAGGTCTCAGTATAGCTAGTTACAATGGCTGCTCCACCCTTCAAACCGAAACGCATTACTGCTTCACGGCAGAAATAGGCGGGGTGGTGGTACCTACCCGTGCGGACTCACAAGAGGTCCTACCACCAGTAAAGAGGTCCTACCACCAATTTCTCAGCGGGCCGAAATTCCCATGCGATAGTAGTTGCACTCGCTAAGCAGTTGCCCTTCCACTGGTAGGCCTATTTCGCAGGCGCTCAAGCAGTTTATTAAAAACCCTGCTCTCCCGGCTGAAGCTTGGCGATGAAGCTGGAAAGGCTTTCGGACCACAGCAATTATCATTATTATTATGCATCTTTATTTCAGTAAAGAAACCATACATTTTGTTAGTAAATATTATTTATAATCTATGTTAGTAACTTAAAAGCCTAACATATAACTATTTGACTATTTGTTACAATTTTCTTCCCAAGTGCCTTCTGCATAGGCTTTTATTTAGCAGTCCCTCGATCTTGCTCGATGTTCAGAAGACCTAATTAAAAAATCTTGAGTAACTATAGCATCGAATGTACTCTGGTAAAATTGCTCTTTCGGATTTTAGGATAATTTATATCCATCTCGTTTAAGAGACCTTGGACTATTATGAATCAAAGACCATTCCGTTTATACATATATTGAACACATTAGAACTAATCATAAACATATTTAAAGTATTCGATTTGAAACATTGTAATCTTGGATATCATTGTGACGGATCTCGAGGGAAAATACTTGCTAATCGATTAATACGACATTTTCTTCCGTATGACCGTGTATTTAGCACATTTACAATATTAACTTAAGTAAAACTTAAAAGCTACAACCGGTTCGTTCACATTTTTTTGACAAGTCTCTTTTTCTTAAGACCGTGTTGCCAGACTTAGATCTCAAAAGCTACGTTGCGTATCAATCATTAATTCTATCTCGTAATTCACACTGTATAGCCTCTGGAACATGACAGATAGTGATTGGCATTTGTTGGCGAAAATTAGTCAACGAGCTTAATAGAACATAGTATTCCACGTCACAGATACCGGTGGTAGCGTCACCGCCGTCTCTTCTGCAAGACTTAGCTTCAGTGGACAGACTCTTCATCACAAAACGTCTCCGGGTGAAAAACGTGCTCTTTCTACGAGGCAAGAAGAACAGGTTCTACGTGCGAACTCCCGATCAAAAACTGCTTTATTCTATTGAAGAAATAAACAGGTAATTTTAATTGTTTTTTTTTTATTTGTTTAGGATTGATGGATTACTGGTGGCCCGGAGGCCTTTCCAGTTTCACTAGGACAGGTGGGCGAGCAAAGGTTCAGCCAGGAGGGGTGGGCTTTGCTAACAGCTGCCCGAGCGCCTCCGAAGGAGACCTAACAACTCGCGAATGAATCTACCACCGGATCGGAATCGCGACCCGCTGAGATGACCCGGCGAGAAACTCAGCGAGCTGATTCATGGATTAGGTTGCACGTCGAACTCTTTGTCGAGTTCGACGAGTACGGTTACCGGGGTCCCTAAGCCTGCTCCTAGTGTTAGAGCTGAACGCGTCTAATGCAAAGGTTATTGGATCTGATGGATCCGTAAGGGCGTGGTGCAAGCGCCTGTGAGTGCCTGCTGTAATAAATATAAGTAATTGTACTGTAAAAACGGAGGCCTTAGAACTCATGTCTCGAGGTGGGTGACGGCATTTACGCTGTCGATGTCTAAGGGCTTCGATAGCACCAGGTTGGCCGCCCACCCTAGCAATAAAAATAGTTTTTTTGAAGAGACCGTAATTTAATTTCCTAGTTGGTGGGTTGGTTACCTGTTCTATGGTCTACGGCCGCTTCAGCTGCGCGTTAATAACGCTCAGGGTGTCGAAGTGATGAGAATCGTTCGTCCGTACGCCTGCACGGCCAGGGTGCTGCCCTGCCAGCTACAACGGCTCCAGGTCTTCTCGCCACCAGGACAGCTGGTCGGCACAGTCGAACAGCAATGGACTGCGGTCAAACCTCTGTACGTGATCCGGAATAAGGAACGCGATGTGGTGTTTTGGATACGGGGTACGTTTGTTTGTAAAACTATTGTAATACATGGACTGAAAAAAAAAAATGAGATGCAGGTTTGCGGCTCTGGCTCCCGCCATGGCAACATTACTAATCATCCATCTCGTCGTGGTAATAACATATTTAATTCATTCTACCGAATTATTCTAATTTACTTCTTTCGTCTTTTTTTTATTGCTTATACGATAGTACCAGCTCATGGCCTATCTGTTTTCAAGTGATTACTAGAGCCCATAGACATAGATAATGCAAATGGAATCAATCACCTTCAGTTCTAAGTCTACGGCTGTCCCACCCTACAAACCACAATGTTTTAACTGCTTTAAAAACTGCTCTGTAAAAACAGACAGAAATTTGTATGGAGTTGGAACGTTTGCCGCGAGAGGCGCTGTTCCAACTCCAAACAAATTTAAGTTAACTTTTACGATATCGAGAATGTTAAAAAACTCGCACTGAGCACACGGGTGTATACTGGCGTGAGGAGTTTCCTTGGATCGCACGGGTAATTGCCAAAGACTAGTGGTCGCCCGGTAGTCGAAATTCGACTAATAATTATTAATTTAAATAATCAGTTTGAACATTATTATGGTTCTATTGTCAAAGACTATATCATACTTCTATCATCACAGATTTCCCTAAAGCTACACTATAGACAAATAATATAAAGAAATCAATATTACATAGGCGGCACTGAAAATTTCGGGAATGAACGAAGTGACACAACATTACTATTTAAAAATGTATTTATTGCTTTTCGAAGTATTCTCCGCGAAATTTGACACATTTTTCCATACGATGGAACCAATCATTGAAGCAACCATTCCATGCGGAAGTTGGGGTCTCCAAAATGGCCGTTTTGTAGGCGTCCACAGCTTCTTCAGGTGATGAAAATCTCTGTCCACGCAATTTATTCTTTATTTTAGGGAAAGTATAGAAATCATTAGGGCTTAGGTCGGGGCTGTACGGCGGATGGTCTAATAATTCTATGTTTTCTTGCTCTAAAAACTCTTTTGTTCTGTGCGCGGTGTGAGAACTCGCATTGTCGTGATGGAGGATGATGCGGCGGTTGCAGTTCTCTTTACGGAGTTCAGAAACGACCTGTGGCAAACAAATGCTAGCATACCATTCTGCATTAACCGTTCTTTGTCCCTCAAGAGGAATAGTCGTAACATGGCCGGTTTTGGAGACAAACGTGGCCACCATTTTTTTTGCAACACTCCGTGAACGAACAATTTTTGTTGGCTTTAACTCATTTTCGAACACCCAAACTCGTGACTGGTTTTTTGTTTCGGGTTCGTACGCGTATATCCAGGATTCGTCACCTGATACAATGTTGTATACAGCATTTGAGGATCCTGCGTGGAATCTTTCGAGAGTTCTGACGCACCAAGTAACGCGAGCCGCTTTTTGCTCTTCACAGAGCGAATGCGGTATCCATCGGGAAAACAACTTTTTTACACCTAATTGTTCATGCAAGATTATTTGTATTTGACTCATGCCAATGTCTAAAGTTGCCTGAATTTCGCGGTATGTCACATGTCGATCTTCCTCAATCAGCTTACGCACAGCATCAACGTTTTCTTGGGTGACTGCAGTTTTTGGACGACCTTGACGGGGATCATCACTGAGCTTGACACGTCCACGTTGAAACTCAGCAAACCAGCGATAAATTGTGGTTTTGGATGGGGCTTCATCACCAAATGCAGAAATCATCCGGTCAACACACTGTTTTTGTGTTAAACCACTTCGAAAGTCCTAATAAATCATCGCTCTAGAATTTTCTCGAGTCAATTCCATTTTCTCAACGACTAAACAAGTTTGACAAAACCTCGTGACAAGACCGAAAATCCTTTTTTAAATAAATAAATGGTATTCGATTTTTAAAACCAAGGAGCTTTCAATTAAAAAGATTTTAATATGACAGGAACAGTGGAAATATTCCATTCCCGATACTTTTAGTGCAGCCCTCGTAATCTAGTCTCAACTTGACCACAGATTTTAACAATAAACAAAATAGTATAAATGCGTGTGTGTGTGTGTGTCAAATACATGTTAATGTGTGTAATATTTTCTTTATCGGTTTAATGTATTTTTTATGCATTATTTAAAAAAAAAATTAGCATTGTGCACTCGTTCTCTATAGTGTGGGAAATTTTATACTTCTTCTTCCGCGCGATTTTCTTAAAAAAGGGATACAAAGTTTTTGCCTCACGTATAGATAACTAAAAGACAAATCTACATTCCTGCCAGGTCCGTTGATAACAATCAGCTGCTTCAAGGACATTAAGTTCGACATCTTCAGGGCTGACGGCTCTCCTGTCGGCGGCACCTGCAAACGTTGGCAGGGAGTCACGCACGCACTATTCTTTGCACCGGTTACTGACAGGTATAGATAGTATTTCAACTATTACGATTCGCGCAAAACGAAGGATATAGAAATGAAATAGCACATACAGAAATGACATATAGACTTCACACAAAAATATGGTTTTTTTTTTTTTTGTTACTTAGATGGGTGGACGAGCTCACAGCTCACCTGGTGTTAAGTGTTTACTGGAGCCCATAGACATCTACAACGTAAATGCGCCACCCACCTTGAGATATAAGTTCTTAGGTCTCAAGTATAGTTACAACGGCTGCCCCAACCTTCAAACCGAAACGCATTACTGCTTCACGGCAGAAATAGGCAGGGTGGTGGTACCTACCCGTGCGGGCTCCCAAGAGGTCCTAACACCAGTAAAGAACGCCAAAAACGTAATCGAGGAATTGTATTTTTTTAATTTATTTTTCGATTTTAATACTTTAAGGTATGTGCTTGATTTGAAAGAGACAGAAAGAGTACTATGTCCTTTTCTAGACTAAAACAAACTGTTTAATTTTATGAACTGATAGGGTACATTAAGATTTAAGTCGTACAAAGTAAAAACTCATTTTTTTTTCATTTTTTAGTTAAGCCACATCAATTCTAAAGGCACGATTGATAATGACACGTCAAGTTAGAAATAAATTAATTGAATTAATCCTCTCTAACATCCTCTATCCTCTTTTAGTAATATTTAGCATTAAATAAGTTCGAGAAAGAAAATATACGCACATAAAAACAAAACACCAGGCCAAATATCTACGGAAGTGCAAATTCAGCTTTAATGTAAGACTAAAGATTGTACCGATATTGTCTTATAGTGTTGTTCATTGATTTTTACAGATTCGGCGTGGCGTTCGAAAGGAATCTGACGCTGGAAGAAAAAGCGTTACTACTCGCTGCCACTTTGCTAATGGATTACATGTATTATGATGCCTAAATAATATTGTTTTGAAATTACGTGATAGGTACATTGTATTGGATCGATTGTTCCGGATGTTTCACTGAATAAAGTGTTTTTCATTTCTGTTTTTCAATACTGACTTTTGTTTGTCTAATTTCACTGGTGGTAGGACTTCTAGTGAGTCCGAATGGGTAGGCACCACCACCCTGCCTATTTCTGCCGTGAAGCAGTAATGCGTTTCGGTTTGAAGGGTGGGGTGGCCGTTGTAACTATACTGAGACCTTAGAACTGATATCTCAAGGTGGGTGGCGGCATTTACGTTGTAGATGTCTATGGGCTCCAGTGACCACTTAACACCAAGTGGGCTGTGAGCTAGTCCACCCATCTAAGCAATAAAAAAATATTTGAACAAGTAATTTGGCATAATAAATATTAGATTTAAATTGCAACCATCTGCAGCCATTGTTGCCGCATAACGTTGGATAACGCATGGAAAATTAATGGTAGCTCAACCAACGTTCCACTAAAAATGCATTTTGGACATTAATATTGAAATAAGGGGACATCCCGTTTCGTTATATTTTAAATGCATTTTACTATTTTGATCGCAAAAACGTCATTTTCCCCCTAAAAATTAATGTCGTCCGCACCACCCCTATTTGCATTGTGTTTAAACTTTTTTCATCACGGCAGATGTCCGAACTAAATGGCGCGAAATTTTGACAGAACGTGTAATTTTTGGCGCGAACAATGACAGTCGGATGTTGCAAATACAAAAAAATCCCTATATTAGGTATTTCGTTGAACCCTTTTTCCAAAGGATTGAATTCAATTATGTTGAAAGTTGTAATAATGGGGTGCTTTTTACTGATTTCGGGAAAATCGCAATGGGGTTTAAGTGTATGTAGGTCAGTGGGTACGCTACGCTTTATGGCATTAAAGTTTTTTTCTTGTGCTTTTTTTTTTTATTTTTTTTCGTACAATATAAAAAGTGGCGCGCGTATGTCACGTGCACTGCACAAAAAAGGGTTTAAAAAGAGATCAACAATACGTGTTTAGAAAATGATTTAGAGTTGTTTTTTTTTATTTGAAAAGGGATTTTCGAAATTACATTTTTTGGGAAAAAATTGAATTTTTTGTTGAATGTTCGACAAAATAACAGAAGGGCTAATGTCAAGATTGGAATTTTGGCAAGTGATTGATAACCTATTGTTGGTAAAAATTAAAGTTCAGCCGGCGTTTTTGCAAAATGCATTACTTGTATAACTCTAAAAACACTGTTCTTTTTTGTAATCTGTAATCTAAGCATCACTAGTATCGCTCGCTCTTTACGGGAGTTTTTATCAGATATGTCCTTATGCTTTGGTGTGCTCTAGCCTCTAGTACCATTGATTTCCACAGGTGACAACAGATTTTACGACCAGGCAATGCATGGCCCTTTATATCCACATATTACCTGGAGCCACTGCGGTCATCCACAGTGCGTTTCCAGAGGTCTTTTTTGCCACTTACGCAAAGCCGGGTGCTTTGGAATGAGCCCCCCTCCACGGTGTTTCCCGAGCGCTGTGACATGTCCTTCTTCAAACGAGGCTTGTGGACATTATTAAGCGGTAGGCAGCGGCTTGGCTCTGCCCCTGGCATTGCTGAAGTCCATGGGCGACGGTAACCACTCACCATCAGGTGGGCCGTTTGCTCGTCTGCCTACAAGGCCAATAAAAAAAACAGAATTAAAGAACCCATTTAAATCTTGTAAATTACAGAGAATCTGAATTTGAAAATTAGAAAGTTAGTGAAATACGCGACGTTAAGTTTGCAATTCCAAACGACAAAAAGACAACAGTCCGAGTACCGGAATTATTGCATCAGGAATTCAATGTGTTTTTCGGTGATCTAAAGACGCCACTGGTCTTCAAAGCCCACACATAACTAATTTAGACATGAAGCCGTCAGCGCAAAATTGGCTTCACAATATGGAGTGTAGAGCTATTGAGGTTTGAATTGACACTGCTTCGTAGGTAAAAACAATACGCGCAAAAACAATGCTTACAACGTTATCTAGGACTGAAACTAGGGACAGGCCGAATTGGCAAAAGAGTTTATTATGTTTTAAATAAATTTAGTAATTAACATGAGTATATTCCTACATATTTTACAGCAAAGCCCTCTTGGGGTCCGGTTTCAAGGATGGAACAGCGTTAATAGAAGTAAATGACGAAGCTTAGACTTATATCTCGAGGCCGGATATAAGTCATGATATCTATGGGCCCAGATATCCAGTATGCACTACAAATTTGTTTTCTTTTATTTATTGCTTAGCTGGCTAGATGAGCTCACGGCCCATCCGGTGTTAAGTATTCCCCGGAGGTCACAGACATCAACAATGTAACTAACCGTACTTATAACTATGTTGAGACCTTAAAACTCATATCTCAAGGTGGGTGGCGGTATTTATACTGTAGATGTCTATGAGCTTCGGTAACCACTTATCACCAGGTGGGCCGTGAGCTCATTCAGCCAGCTAAGTAATAAAAAAGGAGATATGAGAGATATGAGATCTAAAGTCTCCGTTTCACTGTATAACGGCTACCTCATCCTTCAAACCAAAACGTATTACTGCTTCACGGCAGACATGGGCAGGGTGGTGATACTTTCCGGTGCAGGCTCACAAAATCTTACCACCAGTAGATTACCTTGCTTAAAGATTTCCACCTCCCGTCGCGCTTTTCATGCCTGAAGGTCCTGATCATCTCCATCCATGACTTTCGTCCTCGCGATGTTGTGCCATCTCATCCTGTCCCTTAATAAGTACTAGAGGTCCCACTGTAGTCGAAATTCGACTATAATTAATTGGAATAGTAAGTTTGTACACATACCATAATCATAAATTTCGCCAAGGCTATACTATAAAAAATGTTACTAAAGACAAACAATATTTAATCTATTCTCAATTTGACCACAGATGTCAAGAACAAAAGTTTGACAATAAATAGTATGGATGCGTGTGTGCGTCAAATACATGGTATGTGGTGTGGTGTAATGTTTTCTTTATTGATTTAATGTATCTTTTAGGCATTATTTAAAAAAAATATGAGCACTGTGCACTTCTTCTCTATATTCTCTATAAGTGTGGAAAATTTCATACGTCCTCCGTCCGCGCAATTTTCGTAAAAAGGGATACAAAGTTTTTGCTTCACGTATTAATATATAGATCATCCAATGTTGACGGTTACCTCAAAGCAAACAGCAGAAACATGACGCATTTCAAAATCTATTTCATGATACAACAAACCACAGACCAGCGTCATTATGTTATATGACAAATGTTATTGTTGTTTTGTTTTCTAATGCTATGGAAACTCAAGAGAATCGTGTTACCATATAATTCGCTTTAATAAGACAAATGCGGTACACGCAAAGTCTTCCTGGTGGCAGTGAGTCAAGGTAATTAGAAATTTATGTGGTAAAGCTACGATTAATTTTAAAATTTCAGGTTTGCTTTGCGTGTGAGTGTATGACTTGACGATTCTTATGTGAGAGTCTTTAAGCACGTGTTCATCTAGACTATTAAAAATTGATTATCCATTACACAACCGAATCCTGGAAATTATTTTGCAAATTGTACATACTTACACAAAAAAATTGATATAAATTTTATATTTATGAACCCCAAACGCTTTAAAAGCTTTCGAAATAACGAAGCACGACCGTGTCACGACCGTCGGGTTAACATCCGTGTAATGTTGACATTTTATGTTACAAAACTTAACCCCTCGCTGCGATGTTGTTCTGTTGACGGTTTAACCCATTTTTCTAAAAATTTCACTGCGTTTCCGTCGGTACGGGCGACAGATGTGCCGCACGCGGGACCCTCGGCACGCGATTTTTAATGGGTGTCGCATTTTTTTTCTATATTTATTAAAAAAAACCACTGATTTTCGTTCGGAATCCCATTTTTTCTGTGTTATCAATCTAAGCCGACAGTTGACGCGTACATAATCTTTAATTAAGAGTGTTTTTCATGTTTTTTTTTTGTACTTTAACATTATTACTTGATTTATTTATTGAAGTTTGAATGGGGTTCCATTTTTAACACGGTTTTATGTAGCTTGATATGTACTTTCGTACGTTCGTTTTCGTCATTTTCGTCAACTTTAAGTGAAAATTTTCCATACGCATTAAGGCCCTATGATAATACGATTATTTTATAATTTCGCTCTTATATGCTGACCAACAGAATCTAAAAAAAATGTGAGCCGTCACGGGACGCTTGGCAGATGTGAAACATAGACATTATTTCATAAAAGTAATATGCAGAAAAGAACAGATTGTGATAGGAACTAAATATGTCATAATGATAAAATAAAATATTACGATAAAATAATTTGTTTCCAAGTAAAACATAGGTTATATTGTGTACTGTGGTAAACAACACTGTATACACTACGGAGTATAACACTATAGGTATCCGAGATCAGTGTAGCGAGAGAGATGGCTTAACGCCGGATCGAGTGGGAGAGAATCGCACAGTCGATTGCGCATGGCGACGCGTCGCCATGGCATGCGTCGCCACGCCAGAAATCGGTTTTACGTGCGGCTATAGATGTTTCACATCAAAAATGATTAATCGTTAATTCGATTTGCTATTTAAACGCGTTTGTTTTTACCTTTAAAGTACGTATATTAATTATTTTAAAAGCTTTTAATGTACATATAAAATGTTTTATTAACTTTAAAATCACCTGACACGATTTAAAAGAACTAATGTAAACCTTTAAACGAGCAATTCTTGTATATTAATATATATGTATATAATCTGAATCTCGGAAACGGCTCCAACGATTTTCATAAAATTGAGTATACAGGGGATTTCGGGGGCGATAAATCGATCTAGCTACGATTTATTTTCAGAAAATGTTGTTTTATTCGTGTTTTCAGTAATCAACTCTTCCCGACATCTATTGGCGAATAATAATACTATTTTTCTTAATTGAGGACAACTAACAAGATGGCGTTATAAAAAAAAAACGAACAAAGCTCGGTCATCATCTGGTA